ACGTTAAATACATCACTTTGAGTCACGAAAAACATCTGTTCCACCTTAACATATATTAAGAACTAAAACAAACATGTACATTCAGCTTCATCGTTATCATACACGCACGCATAAACTTGTGATACTGTCGTTATCATAAGGAAATGTGTTAAATCGGTAAATTAGCAATTACAGTATCATTTTCCACGATAAGACGTAGATTGTGATACAATACAATGAAGTAAGTAGATGTAAATGTTAAACATTCAGTATTCTATCTTTTTATAAAACAAAAGCTTTCACGAATGAGCTGGTAATTATCACTATTGGCCATGATAAAAGACTGATAAAACTGATGATACAATAATGTTTGTTGACATTCTGATTAGGATAATGCAGGTATCAGTCCTGTTGTCAGACGTCATTACACATCGTTAGTAATGGTGATATTTGGCTTTTGCCTTTATCAATGTGTATAGTTCTGGGTATTGATAATACTGGCTGTTTTATTGTTCTTAATGTCATCGTGAATTACATATATATATAACATACTTGTGTAGACCTTTATTGCCTCTGTCAAGGCCTAACGACAGAAAAACTATTGGCTAACTTCGTCTGTTTACTGAGGAGTATATATGGATGCATGTCAACGACTGATATCTGTATCTATATTGATATATCCATCTATTAGCATATAAATGTTTATGTATACATATATATATAAATATATATATATATACAAATATATTATATACATATATATATATATATATATATATAATATATATATATATATATATATATACATACACACACATATATATACACACACACACACATACATGTATATGTACATATACATATATATAATATATATATATATATATATTAATATTATATATATATATACATATATACATACATATATACATATATATATACATATAATATATATATATACATATATATATATATATATATACATATACTATATATATATATATATATGTGTGTGTGTGTGGTGTGTGTGTGTGTGTGTGTGTGTGTGTGTGTGTGTGTGTGTGTGTGTGTGTGTGTGTGTGTATACATATGTATTATACACATATACATATACGTCCACACACAGGTATGTGTATGTAGATGTGCATGTATATGTATATACATATATATATATATATATATATATATATATATATATATATTATATATTATATATATATGTATGTGTATATATATATATATATATATAATATATATATATATATATATATGTGTGTGTGTGTGTGTGTGTGTGTGTGTGTGTGTGTGTGTGTGTGTGTGTGTGTGTGTGTGTGTGTGTGTGTGTGTGTGTGTGTGTGTGTGTGTGTGTGTGTGTGTGTGTGTGTGTGTGAGTGTGTGAGTGTGTAAGTGTGTGTGTGTATGTGTGTGTGCATATATAAACATAATTATGCATATATACGTATATACACAGACACACACACTCACACACATTCATATATATATATATATATATATATATATATATATATATATATATATATATGTATATATTATATATGTGTATATATATATGTGTGTGTGTGTGTGTGTGTGTGTGTGTGTGTGTGTGTGTGTGTGTGTGTGTGTGTGTGTGTGTGTGTGTGTGTGTATGTGTGTGTATTCTTGCACGTATGGTGTTTGTAGAAACGTGTTCTTGGATATACTATCTGTATATATACACACAAATACCTTAAGAACATGCAATTATAAATAAATAAACCGAAAGGAATGCTTTACAGGGTGTTTTAACAAAAAATAATTATGTACTCTAGTGTCCTTGTACTTGCTCTGGGAAACTCGCCAAGGTCTTCCGTGCGCTCTTCATTAGTCAAGTTTATAGTACTAAATATTACATTCACAATTCTACATACCAAAGCACGCATTCCCGGAACTCTCCGCCAGTTCCGGTTCCACGAGCGTCCAGATAAAACAGCACGAGGGAAGTGCACGCCGGTGGAGGACCTGGCAGGCGGGGGCAGGGTGGGGCCGGGGGGGAGGAGAGGGGAGAGAAGCCGGAACGTTTCTGGTTCCGAGAACTGTTTGGGTTTGGTCGACGGTTTAGCCGGAACAGAATGTTTTCTATGCATGTTATTGCTTTGGTATCTTACCGCGCAGGTTTTCTCTTTTAGGGAATGTCTTTATGGTCATTAGTAGGACTCCGATCCTCCACTGGCCGAAGTCGTTGTCTGGAAAAGCGGATGCGGGATCAAGAACAGTGAAACAATTCATTCTGTTGTAAATTTTTGAAAACTACAGAAGCAGCAGTTAAATAGAGAAATAAGCATTAAATTTAGTGTAGGTAAGCGATATCACATATCCGAAACATAATCGCAAAGGATATGTAGCTCTAAAACTGAGTAGGAGTCGTTGCTCAGTTGCCTTATGACTCAAACCGGCTGACGTGTCACAAACGTATCTTGACAAACGTTTGGTATCACCTGTTCCTCCATCACTCTCCCTCCTCCCCCTTCCACCCTTACCACAAGTTCCTAGTACACCTACAGTTGCTGGATCTCTCTTGACAAATTATAAACACCTGGAAACTTAGCTCTAATAGTTGCCATAACGCGCTATTTGATTAAATATTATTACCCGGGGTTTGTATTGTATGCGATACATTGCAGATTTTTACATTAAAACTTTAAAAGAATTAAAATCAACTTAACGACTTCTAAGAACCATGCTGGAATATTCCAAGAAACTCTTTTCAAAACTTGCGCCTACACTAAACACCAAAGTCGCCTCTGATTGGCTGAAAGTTTAGGACTGAATCTTGCGCGGTGTTGTTGTATCTTCAAAACACGGGTGGAGAAGGTCCTGTGGCAATTTACTAACTAACATTATTAGTTTACAGAAAAAATACTATATATAAGAGAAACAATTATAATTACTAGTCTCATGGAAATTTTGGCAACTGATATGTGAAGTATATAAGACCTAAAATTAAAACATGTGGCACAACAGTGGTTGAACAGTTCTCGGTATCAGCCAATCGCTGAGCTCGCCGCCATTCTCTGAAATCGATGATGTCATAGTCAGCCAATGAGAACGCTAGAATATGATGTCATGTTTCTATTTTTAGACTATGACAGAATCGTATAAGATCTGCTCTCTCCCTCCAGATGACTCATATGGCCTGCAGACAGCAGAGGCTGAACGTGTGTCGTGCTTATATGTGATGAGTATAAGACTGTGCCTCATAGTGTGAGTCCGTCCGCTAGTGACTCATCGTGAACCCACCACGTGCCAAGAAGTTTGTTTTGTGTTAAGAGACTAGTTATGGAGGCAACCATGTACGAGGACGGGTCGTACAACAACTACTCTAAGGAAAGTGTTAACCAGATGAAACGCAAATTGACGCTGGATTTCACCAGACCGTCCAAGAAACAGCGACCAGGAGGCAATTTCAACCCACTTCTAACTTCCCCGGACCTCAACCAGCTGAAGTTAGCCTCTCCCGAGTTGGAGAGACTGATTATGCAGCAGGGGAGCACCATCCTCAACAGCAACACGGTGACGACGCCCTCCCAGTTCTTCTTCCCCAGCAAAACCGCCACCGTCGAGGAGGAAGAATTCGCCAAAGGATTTGAGGACACTTTGGAACAGCTGCACCACCAGGATGCCATCTCCACCAGCGGTAGCGGCACGGTCGTCGTGACCAGCGTGGCCCCTTCAGTGTCTTCGGCGCCCCTTCAGTATACCCAGCTGGATGTGCCCATCCACCAACACCACCACGCCCACCACCCCCATCAGCAGGTTCCTGTGACATCGGGCGCGGCCGTATCGCTATCGGTGAGCGAGTCCCAGCACCATGTGGCGGCGCATCTGGGCCTGTTGCCACCTGCGCACATCAAGGAGGAGCCGCAGACGGTGCCCAGCGTGAGTGGCTCGCCTCCGCTATCGCCCATCGATATGGAGTGCCAGGAGCGGATCAAGTTGGAGCGCAAGCGGCTGCGGAATCGAATCGCGGCGTCCAAGTGCCGCCGTCGGAAGCTGGAGCGCATCAGCCGTCTGGAGGAGAAGGTGAAAACGCTCAAGGGCGAGAACATGGAGCTGCAGGCGGTGGTCAACAAGCTCCGCGACCAGGTGTGCTCGCTCAAGCAGGAGGTGATGGAGCACGTCAACTCAGGGTGCCAGATCCCCTTCGTAACGCACCAGTGACGTGACGACGAAGCACCGTAACGTGCCAGATCACCCACGACCGCCCGCCCGCCCACAGCCAGCCAGACCGCCCGCCCGCACGCCCGCAATGGACCCATCCTGGCTGGCCCGCGTGTTTGTGTGGCCCTGTGCGAGGCTAGCGCCGTACCCTCCCTACAGCAACCTGTAGGAGGCCCGACGGCCGCAGTTGTACACGGAGTTGTATGTGGATGCCCGAGACCTGGTTTCTGTGAGAGGCAGCCAGGGGGGGCGAATCCCGGTGAGGGCGGGAAATATGTTGTACCGGGGCTGGGGGAGCAGAACCACTATACCGGGGTCGTTCTAGTCAAGTGAGCGCGTGGACTCGGCCGCCATAGTGCGCTCGCCGCCCACCCGCGCCCACCGCACGCCCGCGACGCGAGGCGACGCCCGCGCCTAATGTGATAGTGCCGCGTGTATGCAAAAAATGTGCTAAAATACTTCCATTTTTATTCTTACTACTGCAGTGCTTTACCAGACACGAATTTTTTCTATGGAACACCCAGTCATGGCCCAGCCGTCACTTTGTTGGTTCACAGATCTATTGCTGTTTCTATTTCTTTATGCAGTTTGATGTACAAGGTCAGTCAGTGATACCCCTTCTAAGTCATGTCAAGAATTTCGTACCTTGTGTTGTAACTAAGTATTACCGTGATATGAAAGTGAAATGTACGAATGAATTTTTATATAAATTATGTATATTTTATATGCAAATGAAACTATTTCTTGATTTATGCAAAATGTGCAAAGCAAACTTTTGTATGAAGCTTTTCTTATTTATAAAAAGAAAAATCTTATAAAAA